GAGGTATGAATTTTTTTTTTCTTTAGTGTGATTTGAATTCGTTAATCCGTTACAATGAACATATATCCAAATCGGGTGAACATTTATTTGTACGTGCGCCCGTATCAATGCAGAAAAAAAAACAATTTAACCCCTGGTTATACAGTTATATGATGTGATATTATGCGGACATCCTGTGTGTACATCTATAGTTCAAGTATCACATGGTCAACACTATCATGTCGTGTAATGCATTATGCAGTGGTATGTCCCTCACTTTTTTTCTCTCGTTCTCTATGCTGTCGTCTATCCTAGGAGAGATCACTCTCTCTCGGCTCGACTATAAATAGAGCGAATTTTCATAGAATGCATTCATTCGAAGATATTCACAACAGCGATAACATCTATTATTCTAGTATTCTTATCACTCCGACGAACAACTGCATTCACTGCTATTATTCATGAACAGGTCTGTGAATATATTTATACATTATCTGCTTTCACTTCACAAAAAAATTTTCTTTTAGATACTATGAAGCAAATGGCATCAAATTATTCTTCAACTAAAACAACAAGTATAGGTCTATTTTTTTTATAATACAATTTATATATACTTCGTCTGTATATATGGCTGAGGTATAATTTTTTTTCAGATAAAGTTACTTTGTACATTTAACAATCCGACATCAGCAAATTAGTTTCAATGATGAATAATCGCGGACATTCCAATAAACCAATGTCATCGAAACCAATATTCATGGAAGTAGGTAAAAAAAATCGTGCGGATGGTCTACACTTGGACAATGATTCTGTAACGAACGATGAGAATTTATTGTTGAACAAAATTTCAGAAGAAGTTCCCATCAAATATCAATTATTAGTATGTTTTTTTATTTGTTAAGAATATGTATTATAATAACATTTGTTTTTTTTTTATTTATTTTTTTCAGCCATTAGAAGACCAAGTATTATCACAAAGATTAAGTCAATTATCCATGACTTCTTATCATACACCTGAACATCTTATTGAAATCACTGAAGATCAGGTTGAAAATATACCGTATTATCTAACAAAAGAAAGTAAATCTTTCCAACAAATAACCACTGATTTATCATCCACTGAATTGATTGAAGAATTACGGCAAGTAGCCATTTTGATACATGAACTTTTAATGATCGATTTTCACAAATCACTTTGGACAATCTATTTGAAATCAGGTACAGGTCAACTCCAATTAAATCAAATGGATCATCATCATCATCCTATTCAACCACATCTTTGGCCCTTGGAAGTTCAAAAAC